ATTACCGTTCCTCGATGCAAAGTGGTACCAAGAACAGTGCTCATCTCGTGGTCGTGCAAGGTACTTATCCAGTGGGGTGCTGCGAGTTGCAGTTTCACCATCACGTTCAAGTCTCCTTGACCCCGACATGGACAAATAGGTAAATGGACGGCTACATCGCCAAAGAGCTAGGCCACTCAGCTCAAAGGATGCCTCCGGTCCACTGATATCTCGTCTTCCCACAGTCTTTATCAGCATCTTTGCACACATTGACTTACCTGTCACTTGGTCTGCATGAGCTGCATCAACAGCATTCACCATGTCCTTAAAGAGATCAGCAGTTGCACCAGTGGGTTCGCTATCTTTGCAAGCATATCCACACACATAGTCAATTATGGCTATGATATCATCAGTGCTAGGATTGTCTGGAGGGGAATTGGAAAGAATCAAGCTTACATCCCCATTTGCTCTCCACGATTGTAACTGATAACGAGAATGCTGAACCACACGTGGATGGTCACGTGGCATCTCTAGGCGGGGAGCTCCGTTATGATCTTCCACAATTTCCGGATAACTGTGCACATTTTTCCCTGGGCGGAACTCACTTCCAAACTCCATCCGACATACACGTTCTCTAGGCTGCAGTCCTTGCTCCGGATGGCGAGGAGTTCTCAAGCAGTAATCAGAGCAACTGTGGAGTCCAACCCTGTTTACTAAAAGCAAATGATCCTCCAGTATTGCTTCTTGTGTTGCAGCTATTTGCATTAGCATCTTCACCAAGGGATCCCTGTCATCTGATATGGGCTCAGCTGTTCCCTCAGGTGGTGACCAGAGGTCTTTTCTTGGCTGCCCTTCTTCATCATTGCCAGCTGGATGTAATGCTGTCATGGCAAAGGTTTCATCTGCCCACTGACTAAGTCTAGCTGCATACTCTTCCTCTTCGCAACCATCTTCACGAGCTTCATGCAATAGCTGATGTGGTTGCCTGTCTTCCCTCCAGCTGAGTTGGTGCCAATGAATTTGACCACGGGACTTGGCAAACTCATAGCGGTACCAATAATCAGAGACACCAAATACCGGCTTCAAAACCTTCTCATGGTATGCCTGGGTACGTAGGTCAAAGTAACTCACCACTACATGAGTATTTTCTTGTACTGCCTTGAAGCGGGCATTGCTATCTTCAGCAAGGTGGACTTCTTCGCCTGTGGTCTGTAAGATGTACTCTTCCAATAGTCTCCTTAGTGGGGGAAAGTAAAACTCAGCACAGCTTCCAGTCATGAAAAATGAAGGCAACCCATGCTTCTCATTGACCATGAACTCAACCAAGGCACGAAGCTCTCTACGTCTCTGGTGCCAGTACTGAGCTGTTCCACGTAGATTTGCACCAAAATACAACAACTTGTCAGTAAAAGTGTCGCCTCTCGCAAGTCGCTCTTGCAGGTCTGCAACAGTTATTTGTGGGTCACCAAGTTGCTGATCAACAAAGAACCGACTCTGTTCCAGGGCACGCTTCCTCATGATCATATTGTGGACAACAAACTTCCAGACTTTATGCCTCGCAAACCTTCCGTCTTGGTACCACAGCAGGTGCTCTGCCCAGTTATGCAGTGTTGGACACGTCACTGGACGGTTTATGTGGAAATCACCCTTTCCATGAGGAAACAAGCAAGGAAATGCCATCGTAAAAAAGTAGGGAGTGGTAAACTCTGATGCTGGCGTTGTGCCTGTGGTCGGCCAAGGGATCACTGGTCGTTGCACATTTCGTTGTGCTTCTCCAGCTTCACCTTCCAGAGGTTCAGAAACAACTTCATTTATGGCTGCTTCTACTTGTGCTTGCACATTTACTCCAGGCTCTGGAAGAATAATTCCAGAGACTGTTGAGTCATCAGTACTGTCTGTATCCCCAGCATCCAATTGTTGTGGTGCAGGGCCTCGGTCATCTGTGCGTTCTGTTTCAGAGAACTCAACAGTCCTCAAATTCGGCAGTTCACCATCTTCCGGTAAATTCTCTATGCGAGCGCCATCAATAACAACATCACCATAAGCAGGATTGTTGTCCTTCAACCAATGAAGGGCTCGCTCAACACGGTGTCTTCTAACCCTGAAGTCCTTATGGGTATCATCTTTTCCTTGTCTTCTCACGCGTATGATATCCACCTCTGCCGGTAGTCGTGGAAGAATAGTTGCCGGTTCTTGCACAGCCTGTGGGAATGCAATGCAATGCCCCTTTGAAGCGATACCTCCATGCTTCAGTAAGTGTACATGCACGGTGGGTGCTAGCCTGGCTATCAGCATCTGCTCAGCANCCACGTAGATTTGCACCAAAATACAACAACTTGTCAGTAAAAGTGTCGCCTCTCGCAAGTCGCTCTTGCAGGTCTGCAACAGTTATTTGTGGGTCACCAAGTTGCTGATCAACAAAGAACCGACTCTGTTCCAGGGCACGCTTCCTCATGATCATATTGTGGACAACAAACTTCCAGACTTTATGCCTCGCAAACCTTCCGTCTTGGTACCACAGCAGGTGCTCTGCCCAGTTATGCAGTGTTGGACACGTCACTGGACGGTTTATGTGGAAATCACCCTTTCCATGAGGAAACAAGCAAGGAAATGCCATCGTAAAAAAGTAGGGAGTGGTAAACTCTGATGCTGGCGTTGTGCCTGTGGTCGGCCAAGGGATCACTGGTCGTTGCACATTTCGTTGTGCTTCTCCAGCTTCACCTTCCAGAGGTTCAGAAACAACTTCATTTATGGCTGCTTCTACTTGTGCTTGCACATTTACTCCAGGCTCTGGAAGAATAATTCCAGAGACTGTTGAGTCATCAGTACTGTCTGTATCCCCAGCATCCAATTGTTGTGGTGCAGGGCCTCGGTCATCTGTGCGTTCTGTTTCAGAGAACTCAACAGTCCTCAAATTCGGCAGTTCACCATCTTCCGGTAAATTCTCTATGCGAGCGCCATCAATAACAACATCACCATAAGCAGGATTGTTGTCCTTCAACCAATGAAGGGCTCGCTCAACACGGTGTCTTCTAACCCTGAAGTCCTTATGGGTATCATCTTTTCCTTGTCTTCTCACGCGTATGATATCCACCTCTGCCGGTAGTCGTGGAAGAATAGTTGCCGGTTCTTGCACAGCCTGTGGGAATGCAATGCAATGCCCCTTTGAAGCGATACCTCCATGCTTCAGTAAGTGTACATGCACGGTGGGTGCTAGCCTGGCTATCAGCATCTGCTCAGCATCTGACATGTCAGACAAAATCTCAGGAACAGCCATTGGATCCATGTTATTCTCACCTGACCACACTTTTGGTACCTTCTTATCTCTCCTGCAGCGAGTACACATGTTTCTTGTGCCTTTGCACTCCAGTCGTCGTTCCTTGCAGACCTCACAAAAACTGAATGCATAAGTCATCTGCTCCACCTCAAAGGCACGAATAGCACTGTACGCCTTATCTTCTTGCTGACTTGAACCTGCTGGTGGAGGTGGTGGTAGATCTCCAACAACTTCTTGCAACCTTTTCTCTTGTTCTGATATTCGTCTTTGGTTTCGCCGCTTTCTTTTTCTCCTGTCATCCTCTGTTTCCACTACACCAGGCTTTGCAAACTCATAGTCCACACCAACTACCCTTGCCCTAGCAATGAGACGGTCACCTTCTAACTGGCTATAATTATTTTCTTCTGGAAGAGATTGCTGCGTTCCCTGCGAATTGCTTGCTCCCTCAACTGGGCCATTTTCTACTACGGGAGTGTCCCTTTCCAACTCTTCTCCTAGTGAATGAATTATTTGTATTTACCAACTACACAATTAATATAAGGTATGGGGCTGGTGGATTGTATTTTTTATCTTGCTTGAGGGATAAGTGAATTTTTTTTGGTATTCAATTGCAGGAACTGGTGAAGCACAATAAAAAAAGCTGTGACTCTTGGGCTAATAAATGCACACTACAGCCTGCCCAAATAGGTCAAACTCTAAAACTGAGTTTCTTTGCACCCTTAAGAACTGCTTGTGTCACTGTACAAGCATTGTTATTATTACAATGCTGTATCTTTTGAAATGTTCTCAAAACCTGATTTCAAAAAAAAATACACCATATACTTTCCAAACTTAAGATAATACAACAAGGCTTGACAATCATTTCTAAGTGGTGATATTGACCGAGATTTCATAAATCAGTCATCAAATAATCAGAGTGACCAAACCAATCAATTACTAATCATCAATTATAATTAGGAAAAATAATTATCTCTATATGAATTCAATGTATTTTTAACTGTGTGTAAATCAAAGTAATACAAACTTAAAGGTACCTTTTCCCATAATATGTACAATCAAATGCCAACAAAACAAAAAAACCCACAAACCAGTCAGCAGAATTAACTATACAGACATGATGTCTTGTCATATTAAGCACAACAGCAATGCTTGAAATACATGAGAAAAGGCCTTATCATTAATGAATTATATAGCTGCTCTTTTAAGTCCCTCAAAAAAAATATCTATTTGTCACACACACACACACCTTTGTATACACCTATTTCAATTAAGGTTGCTTCAGAGAAGAATGATGCATGATGCATGATCCATGTTTCATAGCCCTGCAGTGCATTATTGTGGAAAGTCTAGTAAATTATTTTCCCGCAACGAACCTAGAAACCTAGATAGCAAAGGCTGCTGACACTTCTATGTTATGTCAGCAGAACGTTAAGAAAATGTATTTCAAAACAATGAATCCTACGCCTTTTAATTTAAGANCTATGCGAGCGCCATCAATAACAACATCACCATAAGCAGGATTGTTGTCCTTCAACCAATGAAGGGCTCGCTCAACACGGTGTCTTCTAACCCTGAAGTCCTTATGGGTATCATCTTTTCCTTGTCTTCTCACGCGTATGATATCCACCTCTGCCGGTAGTCGTGGAAGAATAGTTGCCGGTTCTTGCACAGCCTGTGGGAATGCAATGCAATGCCCCTTTGAAGCGATACCTCCATGCTTCAGTAAGTGTACATGCACGGTGGGTGCTAGCCTGGCTATCAGCATCTGCTCAGCATCTGACATGTCAGACAAAATCTCAGGAACAGCCATTGGATCCATGTTATTCTCACCTGACCACACTTTTGGTACCTTCTTATCTCTCCTGCAGCGAGTACACATGTTTCTTGTGCCTTTGCACTCCAGTCGTCGTTCCTTGCAGACCTCACAAAAACTGAATGCATAAGTCATCTGCTCCACCTCAAAGGCACGAATAGCACTGTACGCCTTATCTTCTTGCTGACTTGAACCTGCTGGTGGAGGTGGTGGTAGATCTCCAACAACTTCTTGCAACCTTTTCTCTTGTTCTGATATTCGTCTTTGGTTTCGCCGCTTTCTTTTTCTCCTGTCATCCTCTGTTTCCACTACACCAGGCTTTGCAAACTCATAGTCCACACCAACTACCCTTGCCCTAGCAATGAGACGGTCACCTTCTAACTGGCTATAATTATTTTCTTCTGGAAGAGATTGCTGCGTTCCCTGCGAATTGCTTGCTCCCTCAACTGGGCCATTTTCTACTACGGGAGTGTCCCTTTCCAACTCTTCTCCTAGTGAATGAATTATTTGTATTTACCAACTACACAATTAATATAAGGTATGGGGCTGGTGGATTGTATTTTTTATCTTGCTTGAGGGATAAGTGAATTTTTTTTGGTATTCAATTGCAGGAACTGGTGAAGCACAATAAAAAAAGCTGTGACTCTTGGGCTAATAAATGCACACTACAGCCTGCCCAAATAGGTCAAACTCTAAAACTGAGTTTCTTTGCACCCTTAAGAACTGCTTGTGTCACTGTACAAGCATTGTTATTATTACAATGCTGTATCTTTTGAAATGTTCTCAAAACCTGATTTCAAAAAAAAATACACCATATACTTTCCAAACTTAAGATAATACAACAAGGCTTGACAATCATTTCTAAGTGGTGATATTGACCGAGATTTCATAAATCAGTCATCAAATAATCAGAGTGACCAAACCAATCAATTACTAATCATCAATTATAATTAGGAAAAATAATTATCTCTATATGAATTCAATGTATTTTTAACTGTGTGTAAATCAAAGTAATACAAACTTAAAGGTACCTTTTCCCATAATATGTACAATCAAATGCCAACAAAACAAAAAAACCCACAAACCAGTCAGCAGAATTAACTATACAGACATGATGTCTTGTCATATTAAGCACAACAGCAATGCTTGAAATACATGAGAAAAGGCCTTATCATTAATGAATTATATAGCTGCTCTTTTAAGTCCCTCAAAAAAAATATCTATTTGTCACACACACACACACCTTTGTATACACCTATTTCAATTAAGGTTGCTTCAGAGAAGAATGATGCATGATGCATGATCCATGTTTCATAGCCCTGCAGTGCATTATTGTGGAAAGTCTAGTAAATTATTTTCCCGCAACGAACCTAGAAACCTAGATAGCAAAGGCTGCTGACACTTCTATGTTATGTCAGCAGAACGTTAAGAAAATGTATTTCAAAACAATGAATCCTACGCCTTTTAATTTAAGACAGTGATTTGAGGTTAGGTTTTTCTCTGTGGTAATATGCAAATGTTGCAAAGTTTCATCAAGTTTGCTCGGCCTGTGCACATGGGAATTTTTTGAGTTAAAAAAAAATTCAAGGCATTTGTTTAATTACAATAAATAACTTAACATTATGCGTTCATCTATTCTTGAGGCAACTTTTTGGAAAACTGAATTAAAAAAGAATATAGCGTTGATTTGCTTTATTGAAATAACCAGCATTCTGGCCTATGCAAAAGTGCAGCTTAATCAGGCGGTAAAACCCTATCCATTTGATGTTGTTAAAAGGAGACTTCTAATTTCTTACTGTGACATTTTAAAAATCTTAAAAATGAAATTCTTCAGCTCGCTCATGCTTAAGATTTTTAGAAGCCATTTGACTTGAAAGCTCTCTTGAACGCCTTCTCACAAATGGTCTCCATTATTTCAATGAACATGAACAAGACTGAACTTCCCACTACAAAAGGGTTTACCATGGTCCCCTGCAGGCTATGAAACATGGTTCACAGGAGCAACCTTAATTGAAATAGGTGTATATTTTAAAATCTTGGTGACAACAATAAAATAAAACACAACCCACAATGAATAAATAAATAAAAATAATCAAGTACATTTATAAAATAAAGTGTAAGGAAAAAAAGTGTTAACTACAAAAGAAAAAGGATAAAATTAACTATGCATGCTTCCCGATGTACGCACCTGATTGGTTCTGATCTTTATTTCAATTAACGTTTATTAGCCAATCACGGTTTTTCATTATCTGAGAAATTTGCATTATTTTGCTTTCTGCATTTGTGTTTCCTCGTTTTTGCACTGTGTTAATTGAAAACTGCAATGGTGCTCTAAGGCAATGCAGTTCAAACTTTTTTTCCTGTATATTATTAACTTTCAAAATAAATACCATCTACCATAATCAACTATATCAGTATATACCTGCTGAATGTCTTTGCTCTTGTTCACCTACAAGAGAGCATTCCATCCTACATTCAACTTGGAGGACCTCACTTTCATCTTCTTCCAAGGCTAAGAAGAGAAGATTTTAAAAACCTTTAGTTGAGGAAGGATTTTCCCTCGCCCCATTAACATTACTTATGCATAAACCTATTGTCCAAAGAAAACAAACGTCGGAACAATACTCAGAGCCAGAAGTTGTGACTTCTGCTTTAACTCTTGCGGGAAATCAAATAAAATGTACACAACCTGAGACTGACAGTATCACTGGGAATTTAATACACTGTACCCTCCAATGAATGAAATACTTGGCTCTTAATCAAGTTAATAGGTACTGTTAGAGTTAAAAGCAATTAATCCACAAGGAAAAGAATACAGACTGTCAAGGCTTAAAATTATGTTCAGTCAATGTACTATGTCCGGTCTAGATTTAAATAGCTGGCAACATTAAGTACCTGAAAATTGAAATAACTACTTTTACATGTTCTAGCTCATTGTCTTTTAAAGAAATGTTGCTTTCATAACTTGATAACTGCACTCAAAAATGGGTAATAACATGATTATGTTTGGACTAAAATTCAGTATTTCCCCATCTTGCAATACAATTAAGGAGTTTTTGAGCATTTATGGGGACATTTTTTTGTCTTAATTTTCCTGTTTACTGCAAAGTGCAATGTTTTCAATACAGTATTAACCTGTGACTGAGAACCCGCTGTTAGGCTATATTTTGCCAGTTAGGCCCCCTCACAACCTGCTTAGCCCAATTCTATTTATTTGTAAGACATTCATATTCTCTTAAATCTATAAGAAAAACCTCTTTTCACTTGAAAAATATTCAAGAATCTCTTTGGTAGACAACACCCCATTGAAGATTAAGTACTCTTATACCTACAATACTTTTTCCTTCAGAAAATAAGAACCTATGTTACTTTAGAAAAAATACCCAATAACTATATTTTTTTAAGAAACCTGTTCAGGCTGTGGGAAAATGCAGATTCTTACCAGGGACTTTTTACTGTATTTTGACCGGTCCCAGCTATAATTTGTTTGGCAGGTAAACTTGGGTCTGGTCAAAAAGAAGACATGACCTTAACGCGAAAATTCCCCTGCCAACATGACCGGCAAAAACAATTTCGAGCACTGGCTTATGAACTCCTTTAATTTACATAAAACATAAGAAGATAGATATCTACAACAGGGAAAAGCCTAAATACTTATAAAAGAAAAGTTATTTCAATTGCATGAGGGAGATTAGCCAGCCAAATTGCTCCTTTAAATTCTGTTTACCCTGAACAAAGAAAACAAGGGGCATGCATGAACCCGAACAATCTGTATGAAATGAGCTCTTTCAACAAGCATTGGGAAAACCAGGGCAAAACATTTTCAGTCTCAATCTACAGTGTCCGCCGGGCACAAGGATCAGGGGCACCCAACGAGAATAGAGTTCAAAACCAGTAAAACATAGCATTGTTAAACGTATTTTAGTATTTAAACGGTAGATATAGGCATATTTTTATTCCCTAGAAATTTTTTATCTGTTCGGATTTCCTAGCTGAAAGTCTAGTGATCCGAAAATTATAGGAATCAAAATTTACCTTTTCGAAAATTTCAGCCAGAAAAAAGGCTCCCGAAAATTCTAGGTGACCTTTTAAGGGTTAAAATTCGTTAAAAATGGGCAATTATACCATTTTTTAGAAGTTCGAAAATCCTAGGAGAGCCAGGCAAGCAAGAAATTTTACAGCAAATGTTACGAAAATTCTAGATCTCAAATCGTCTTCCGAACAGATATTTTCCGAAAATTGTCGTTGGGTGCCCCTGAAGGATGCAACAGTGATACCCCAACTTTACACTTTTGAGAATACAACGCTTTCACGGGATCCTCTAACACTAAATAATTTTCTCCTGTCACGGAGGCCAGAGTCGCGCCAAATTTTAAAAGCTTACATGACAAATAAAATTCAAGATAGGAAGTTTTCATTCATTCAGCGATTCAAGGCACGGTCGCATCGGACAGAACAAAAAGGCAGATTATGGTTAAGGAAATGTAAATTCTTGATGAAATTACATCACTTGCACAATTTCAAGATTACCTTGGGTTTTCCGCACCAAAAAGATTGGATAATGAATACATCGATGAGCATTATAATGTAATATCTTTGTTAAATTCAATGGTCTCCGACTTCGTGTTCATCTCCTCTGAAACTCGACACTACGTGACAAGTGACGTAAGCTCGGATTGGTTAAACAAACAAAACAACAGACAACCTCTGTATGAGTTTAACGTTTTTAGAGAAGCCAAAACGCCCTGCATTCGATACATAAAAAATTTGAAGAAAGTCACTCACCTTCTCCTCCTTCCCGTTCGTTTTCGTTTAAGCTTAAGCTTATACGACGCCTGTTTTCCCTTGCTGTTTCTCGCTCCCTTCTTCGCCGCTCGTCGCTAGTTCGGCGTCTATTTTCTCTTACTCTTTCTCGTTCATTATCCAGTTGCTCTTCAGTGAAATTTCGCCTCCTTTCTCTGCTTCTTTCTTGCTCCCTCTCCCGTTGCTCGTCAGTAAAATTGCGCCTTCTTTCCCTGTTTCGTTCTTGCTCCCTCTCCCGTTGCTCGTTTGTAAAACTGCGCCTTCTTTCTGTGCTTCTTTCCTGTTCTCTCTCCCGTAGCTCGTCAGTAAAATTGCGCCTCCTTTCTCTGTTTCTTTCTTGCTCCCTCTCCCGTTGCTCGTCAGTAAAATTGTGCCTCCTTTCTCTGTTTCTCCCTTGCTCCCTCTCCCGCTGCTCATCAGAGCAGTTTCGTCTCCTTTCTCTAGCTCTCTGCCGCTCCCTCTCCCGTTGGGCTTGGCTTGCTTGCCGCCTACTTTCTCGTTTTCTCTGCCTTTCTCTATCTCTGTACTCCAAACTAGAGGACATAATAAATAAGATACAAGAATTGCGGAATTGCGCGGTGCTTAACCGATACGAAAAATTTCTTTTTCTTCTGAGTTGACTTCGCTGAAGTTTTCAGTTGTTTATGCTTCACGAAACGCGGGCGGCCCTTTGTTTTCGCGCCAAAAACTATATGCACTCACAGACTGCCCGAAATTTTGCATTGGTTTGCCTGTGGTGCGGACGGACGGTCGGTCGGTCGGTCGGTCGGTCGGTCACGTGATTACCAAATTTTCTGGGATGGGTAGATTTATTTACCCATGGTGCTCCGCGGGCGCGCTTCGCGCGCGGAGCTCCGCTATGACATTTTCACTGACACTTGGTTAAAATGTGAAATGAAAGTTGTACTATAAGTGAGCGANCGCCTCCTTTCTCTGTTTCTTTCTTGCTCCCTCTCCCGTTGCTCGTCAGTAAAATTGTGCCTCCTTTCTCTGTTTCTCCCTTGCTCCCTCTCCCGCTGCTCATCAGAGCAGTTTCGTCTCCTTTCTCTAGCTCTCTGCCGCTCCCTCTCCCGTTGGGCTTGGCTTGCTTGCCGCCTACTTTCTCGTTTTCTCTGCCTTTCTCTATCTCTGTACTCCAAACTAGAGGACATAATAAATAAGATACAAGAATTGCGGAATTGCGCGGTGCTTAACCGATACGAAAAATTTCTTTTTCTTCTGAGTTGACTTCGCTGAAGTTTTCAGTTGTTTATGCTTCACGAAACGCGGGCGGCCCTTTGTTTTCGCGCCAAAAACTATATGCACTCACAGACTGCCCGAAATTTTGCATTGGTTTGCCTGTGGTGCGGACGGACGGTCGGTCGGTCGGTCGGTCGGTCGGTCACGTGATTACCAAATTTTCTGGGATGGGTAGATTTATTTACCCATGGTGCTCCGCGGGCGCGCTTCGCGCGCGGAGCTCCGCTATAACATAAAATATCTTGTTCTGATGCTCTCATTGAGTCCTCTTGGCACCTTAAAAGATTCAGCTCATCACCTACACTATTTTTAAACGAGAAAACAGCCGACTTAAAACATTAGAATTTAAGGGAAACAAAATTGACATAAGTTGTTTCTGACGTCATAGATTTTTCAGTGTTACCCTCTTAGAGACTGGTTATTGTTAGGTGTCATATGACGTTCCCAATATGAAGTACCCAAGGAGAGTGTGCGGCCTGTTGAGAAAAATCCTTAATATATAACATCATGATAACACTTTTTATAGCGAGGGTATGTTATATTTGACTCCTGTTATATATTTTTACTTAATTACTAAGACAAAAACAAGCTATTCGTGATAAGGGAGTTCGTAATATTGTGGTTCCTTACATCTATTTTTTGAACGTAATTAATCACAATAGTTAGTAATTTGGCTCTATTTACTTAGCAAAAAAAAGAGATAGTAAGTAGTTCTACCGTCAACCTAGCGGAAGCCAATCGTGGCTGGTACAGGTATTGCATCAGATATGTATATATTGCGCTTAGGTGGATAGAGAGAAATTTTGCACCTCAATTTTTTGTCAAGAAAAGAGTGATTAAAAACTAATCTTATTTTTTATTCAATTTACGCAGGATGGAGTTTTGTTCACGTGCAAAGGATTGAAGTCTGGATGCACTTCTCTCTGCCAGAAATGTAGTAAAAGTGGCTATAGCGAGATATAAACAATTAGAAGAAGTCCTTTAAAGTTAACAAACTTCTCGTATTGCTCATACACTTCCCCGCAATCTAAAATTGCCCAGTATTGAGTTAGCTCTGACTGCAAAATAAAAGTACATTGCCTCTATCAGCTGTACACAGGCTGGCACCTCTCTGCCGGCACGAGGATGAGCATTCTTTTACTTTTGTTTGCAAAGTTTCTCCGCGCATAACCCTAGCATGTATTTTAAAAGCAACAAGCGGCGAAACCACGAAGGCGTAAGCCTGAGAAGAAAAAAAATTGTCTCTTCCAAATCCCTTATTGTAACGTAACGTTATTACTTGCAATCGCGCTGGCTGGGATAACTGAAAACAGGATGGATTTTAAGATAAAAGGCGGACTGCGACTAATCCTGTATCCATGCAACCTTGCTACCAGGAGAGCTCTGGGAATGAGGATGGTAACCATGAGTAACTGGTGTTTCCATTGAGCGGTAATTTTTAAAATGAAGAGAGAAAATGGGGTAATAAATGATAGATAACAAAAAGTTTTAGTTTCGAAAAGGAAGTCAAAACCTGATAAAACCTGAATGCTGAGCAGGAATCAAGATCAAGAGATTTACAACATCGATATGTAAAGAAAAAAGTTGTAGTGGAAAAGAGTTTCATTTTGAAGGGAATGCCTAAAAAACTAGATTAACGACCTATTGGCACAATTAGGTACATACCAAAGGTTTGTTAGAGTACCCCTGGGGGGGAGGCAACAGGTACTTCCGGTATTTTATGGCATGGGCGATTCCATGACTTACTGCGGATGTGTTTTTAAAACACTTTTGATTTTTTAACATTACATCTTATATAAATATCTTCGTGATTTCCGACATGAATAAATGTTAAAAAAATGCTGTATCAAGTTTCTTCCTTTAGATGCTAATTATATATGACTCTTAGCCACTTATTTACAAGGATTAGTTGAACTTTAACTATTGAGGGTTGAAAGGCCATGTTCACGCTCACGTACTTATTCTCTGGTGGGTGATTGAAGTAGTGTATAATGCTAGGAAAGCAAATCAATACAGAGTAAAAGTTCTCATTACTATTTGGATATTTTCTTCGGGGGAGTTCACGGGAATTTCGCTAGAGACCTGTGAAAAGATCGATGACTGTTCATGCAAAAAAAGCAATGGGAAAATCATCAACTTACGAGAAATCGATGGAGGCTCGAAGGCAGCGTAAGTATTTTTATTCCCTCTTCACGCGGGTAGTGTGAGATGACATGAATCCGTGCACTTTCTGCTGATTGTCATCGAATATCAGCTAGAGCGATCAGTCTGGGTCAATAATTTTACAATCGGCGTAGCAAGGGTCGAAACGGGTAGGGGATAAGCAGGGTATATTTCTCTCTCCTCTGACTTAAGCAGGACTAACCACTCAAAGGCCCGTGGGACCCATCCTTTAATTATTACTTCGAAAAAAAATACCTAGGTAAAATCAAAACTCAAAAGGAACTACGCAAACTGATTTTCACTGACCCTTCATAAAATTATGAGCATAACAGCAAAAAGGTTCTCTCGAACCCCGGGGTCTCAAACCAAGCTCGAAATATGACATGAATATGAGCATCGGCATGGCTGCGTAACCTACACAGCCGTTTTTAGTGTCCGTTGCGTGACGACACTAAAAACGGCTGTGTAGCGGACTACGATTTATAGGAATTGTATGGGTTTTACTGTAAACAGGTTTGCTCTCTCTCTATAATCCGTCCATATAGGGAGGAAACCAGTTGAAAAAAAAAAACATAAAATGGCCATAAATCGGCTCGGGAACCGCAAGAAGAATCACGCAACTTTTAAAAGTGAGGTTAGCTGATTCTTATTTATATTCTTTCACGAACCAATGATTTTTTCCTCATACAAATTCTTATAGTCAAACGTCACGGTAAAATGCCGATGCTAATTCTTTTGTGGGTTAGGCTGTCACGCCGGCCTATGCAAACACAAGAGGTAGAGCAACGTTTGAAGGTGAACGGATAGGGGGATAAATGCGCGCGAGAACCGGATGGGAGGGTATCTTTCATCGTGTGGTCAAAGGCGAGAAATTTGCAAATGTACTTCGAAGCTAAGTATAAGGGTATTTTTCTTTCACCATTTAAAGGCTTACAATGTCCTTTTATTAAAAAAAGTTTTTTTAAAAAAAACCTGTCCCCTTTTTTTCCTTCGTACTCACTCGTCCTCGAAGTTTTTTTCTTCGCTCCGAAAAAAACTGACTGGCCCCTCTTACACATGCCAGAAAAAAATTGTTTCCCTCACAGCCGTGAGCCGTGAGCCGTGAGTGTCGTCACGCAGTAACCTTCTACCCGGATTTCCCATGTATTAAAAGACAGAGTGAGATAAGTCACGCAACACCACTTCTCGCCACTTTACAAAAATAAGGAAACTGAGCCGAGTTAACTTTCGCAAAGACCTGGGAACAGGGCAAAGCTATTGGCCAATAGCTGAACGGCGCGTCCTCAGTAACGTTCGCAGAAGTCTTTGCGAAATCTGAATCTCTCAAGTTTCCCTCTCGTTTTTAAAGTGGCAAATTGCACCAGCTTTTCCCTCTTACACACCCTTTCCCCCCCCCGCCGCCTCCCCCCCAACAGATCTTTTTCCCGATACCTGCCATCTTTGTACGCGCTTTAGGATTGATGAGATAAAAGTAATGTCAGGTTGTACTGTATTTGAGAGGCAAACAAGAAGTAAAATTTGCCAATAGGAGAAATCCCGGCCGAGATATTATGTTCTCTCAAAACTAGAGGACGATTTAAGTTCCGCCAAATGCACATTTCTAGTTTCGAAAAGTTCTACGTCATTATTGCTTGATGTGAGAACATCTACGGTTGCTACTGCGTCTCAAAACGTAAAATAATCACTTCTACCCATAATTTGTCATTATCGTTTTTAAGATAACAAGTTCTTCATTTTCTGTTGTGTAGGATAAACAAACTCAACAGCGATTTTTTGTATTGGGAGATTTTAGTATTTATTTGCCCCCTGAGAAGCCACGTGACATCGCTTTTATCCCATCAGTCCTTAGGTGCGTGCAAAGATGGCAGGTGTCAAGAATAAGGGCCCCTTGAAAAGGCCACTATTTCTGGAATATCTAACTTTTAGGTTGCATCCCACAAGCGAGGGAGGCTGCAGAGCATTAATTGTTAATTAATATATTGATTGTTACAGTTTCAATATGGCTTTTTCAAAACAATCCCTGGGTCAACTAACTAGTACGTTAATTTTTTATAGTTTTAAAAACATTCCAACTGTTGGCAGTAAGCAATATACATTCGACTGGAATCCTTGTACGAGCTTCAGCGAAAACTCTGAATGTCTCAATATGCTGGTAAGTTATTAACATTTTCAGTTATAATTACAATGAAGTTCGGATAAAACACACAGTCTGATTGGTTCAGAGTAGAGGTTATGAGAGTATAAAACACGGAGGTCAAGCTGTCACATCACCTACCAATAGTCATATTTAAGCAGTTTGTTTTCAAATTGTCGTGTTAATAACATCCAGGTTTTCATGAGCTATAATTCGGCTGGATTTAAGTGAACCTTTTTACCTATAGAAACTGACTTTTGGGAGTAAAATTTCCTCTGCATTCGAATTCGGAGAGCGTTTAACTCGTTTCACTTAGTGATAGCTGGAAAGTGGAAGCAAAAAAGGGGAAAACAAACAGCGCCATGTTTCATAGCCTACGATATCAATTTGCTTTTAAATAAAAGCCCAAATGTCAGAGGTTTCTTTTTAGTTTAATACCCTTAAAAACTCAAGCTGCAAAACGGTGAAAATGAGGCGTAACGCGTTTAGGGGAAATTCTTGAGCCGTTCTGAAACCACGGACTGGCACAATATTTTAGCTTCATCAGGTGTATTATTCTTTGAACGAACCTTTTGATGCCCGGATAAACGACACCCATATATCAAAACCCTTTCA